TATGACCTAGTATATGTTATAGGGCCCCTAATAAATGCAGGGCTTAGTTATATTCATGTTTGTGTATCACATTCAAGATTCCTGGGGCCAGCCCCGTTGGCCTAGTGGTTAAGTTTGGCATACTCCTCTTCAGTGGCCTGGGTTCAGTTCCCAGACGTGGACCTACACCACTTGTCAGTGGCTGCTCACATGCAAAATAGAGGAAGATTGGCACAGATGTTAGTTCAGGGTGAATCTTCCTCAGCAAGAAAAAAAAAAAAAGATTCTTGGAGGCCAAAGTCCTCTTTCTTGTAGCTTTTTAGTTTTTTAATTCTGTAGTTTAGTTTAAATGTGCTTTGAATAACATTAATTACTGAGAGTTTAATTTAAATGTTTTGAATAACACTAAGTAGCATTAATTACTGAGAATTTTATAGCTTATGTGTTCTATACTTCTTAGTCCTAAAAATGCCCCAAACTTCATATAATAGTCACAGAAATAAAATAAAGGAAGACAAAAATAATGTGATTTATATTTAGTAGGTTTCTTTAGACCTGCATGTCTAGATCTTCCTTCCCCTGCCACCCAGACCTGCCTTCTAAGCAGCATCGAATACCCTAATCTGATCCATCCTCTCTCCCCAGACCCCTGCAGTAGCCACTTACCTGTGCTTCCCCCCTCCTCCTGCTCCACTCTCTTGACCTTCTCCAATTCATTCTCCTCACGGTAATCAACGGGGAGGAAAATTTGCAACATATTCAAATTAAGGTTTTTTGGTGTAAAGAACTCTAAAAAATCAATGTGAAAATGCCATGTACCCAAATTTCAAAAAATGGGAATCTTCATGGCTGGTAAACATAAAAAAAAAGTTCTACTTCCCTAGAAATGAAGGAATCAAAATTTTAAATGATGAGATGCTATTTATGCCTATCAAGTTGTATGAGATTAAATAAGTGTACGCAGCATTAGCAAGAGTTTGGGGAATAAAAAGCTCTTACATGTTGCTAATTGGAGTTTAAAATGGTACAGCTTTTCTGGAGGGCAATTTGATAATATGTAGCAGAGGACTTAAAATGAATTTAGCAATTCCACTTCTATGAATTTATCTTAAGGCAGTCATAGGACAGTGCTCAAAACCCATGTGTGTATAGGAGGATATTTGTTGGAGCTGTTTATAGTGATGAAAGAAAACGGTAAAATAAATGAAATTTGGTATTTCTAGACAGTGGAATTTTATGGAACCATAAAGAATGATAATGTAGAGGGTGTTTTACTTTACCCTGAAACACTTCCACAATATATATATATTTTTTTTGATTTTATTTTTTTCCTTTTTCTCCCCAAAGCCCCCCAGTACATAGTTGTATATTCTTCGTTGTGGGTCCTTCTAGTTGTGGCATGTGGGACGCTGCCTCATCGTGGTTTGATGAGCAGTGCCGTGTCCGCGCCCAGGATTCGAACCAACGAAACACTGGGCCGCCTGCAGCGGAACGTGCAAACTTAACCACTTGGCCACGGGGCCAGGCCCTCCACAATATATTTTTTAAGTGAGAAAGTAAGTCACAAAGCAGCATGTATAATTCAGCCTCTTTTTGTAAGGAAGAAATATGTGAAGGGGCTATGGATAGCAGAGGGAAAGTTCTGGAAGACTATATGCTAGAATGCTAATGTGCGTTGCTTTTGACAGTAAGGATATAGGTGGTTTTAATATTTTTTTCACTCTTGTCTGTATTTTGTCATTACCTATGACAAACAAGTATTATATGGTAAATTATATGTATTTTTCTTTAGAAAAGACATGGTGTTCATCTGCGGAGGTTGAGAGCTAGGACTTTGTGTGTGATGTTTTCTTTTTTCCTTGAGAGCAGAATACTTAAGTGAACTCCTTAAGAGAAGGAGCTTAAAAAAATATGTAAGGGGGCCGGCCTTGTGGCCGAGTGGTTCAAGTTCCACGCGATCTACTTCTGCGGCCTGGGGTTTGCAGGTTCGGATCCCTGGTGTGGACATACTCCACTCACCAGCCATGCTGTGAAGGCATCCCACATACAAAGTAGAAGAAGATTGGCACAGATGTTAGCTCAAGGCCAGTCTTCCTCAAGCAAAAAAAGAGGAGGATCGGCAATGGATGTTAGCTCAGGGTAAATCCTCTAAAAAAAAAAAAAGAAAAAGTAAAATCTGGCTAGTTGGATGCATGGCCATTGCAGTATTTTTGTCATTTTCCTCATGTTTGAATTGTATTATAATTAAAAAAGAAGACTTGACCTTCAAGATTCACAATAGAGTGGGAGACAAAAACACATGTAAAGTAACTATAATGTAAAATATACTGTTAATTTTTTTGTTTAACTGTAGATCTTTTTAAATTAGTATTTATTTTTTCAAATAATACATGACTACACTTTTAGAAATATCAAAAAGTATTGAATTCTAATTAAAAAATGCCAGTCCCCTATCCCACCTTTCTGTACCCCTAGACCCACTCCCAAAGTGGGGAAACTCTAAGCAAATTATACTAATATTTTCACTGTCATATTTCTAAATATTTTGCTTATAATGTTATTTTAGAAAAATTTATTAATTTTGGACATTTTTCTATTGCCTCCTGGTTATGGTAGATGGCATTTAGCTCTCCTACCTTACTGTCACCTTACTCCCCCTAGCTTCCCAGTATAGCTATATCATAAGTTTTGGTTAAACCCAATAATGTGTACATTATTACTATGTAAATGTTGTTCACTGTTAAGCTTAGTTGTCCACTAGGACTGTTTTCTTTGTTGAACTCTCTTTGTTTTTCCTAGCGTTAATTGCCCTTTTTATTTGCATAGTTTTCTATGTATTTGGGAAAAGATAATGCTACTCTCATCCCACCCTCCGCCTCCCCCCCCCAACAAATTGTGCCAAGCAATTTAAAATTTTTTCAAAATCTCAACACAGCGAAAAATCTTACCAAGTCCTGTCTTTTCCTGAAGACACTTCTTTCCTGCCTGGCCTGGTTGTTCTCTGGCCTGAGTATGTTGTTCTGACCCGCAGCCTTCTCTTCACGCTCTCCAGTTGAACCCATTATTTTCCTGGCCCTCGTGTTGTCTTCTTTCCTTTTGCCTGAAGCACATTCTGTAAGAGTTTTCTTAGAAAGATTGTGTAGGATGTAAATTTTTGTACCTTTGTTCTACTTTTATACTTGACTGATAGGTTGAATTTTAGAATTCTAGATTGAGGATCACTTTTCCTTAGAATTTTGAAGGCATTTCAGAGCTGGGAACACAAAGACCCTTCCAGTTGGATGGACAAACCAGCTTTCCTGGCTTTCCCACAAAGGCGCCCGTTAGGCAATGAAACTGACTGCTTGGAATGAGGATCCTGTCACATCCTTCAGGAAGCTTTCCTTGCGTATCTCATCATTGCTTGTATACGTCTTGGCCTCGCTCTATATTCTGGAGACTCTGGCTATGTGCTGGTCCTTCCATCAGGTACAAGCACCAGGTAACAACCCAGAATATTGAGGGGTGGGTGCAGCTAAGCTCACCTTCTCCGGTGTACCATCCCGCTAGCAAGCCTAGCCTTCAGGCCTTCCTGGTTTCTATTCCTGCAGGCTTCCTTGGGTGGAAATGGATTCCTCCCCCACTGGGATTGTATGGACAGAGATGAATGATATAACCTATTCCTGGAGACTTTGTGGACAGGCAACTTAGAACTCTAAGAAAATCCTCTGACGTTAAGGTTTCATGATCTTGTGACTGTTGAACTGGTGTTTCTTGCCAGGATGACTCTTGCTGTGATCTTAGCCTGCTTCACTGGTACTCATTCTTTAAGACTCAGCTAAGGGATTGGCCTCCTCTAGGAAACTCTCATCTTCATCATTCTCATTTCTTCTTCTTTCCTGTTGGCTGTGTGCTTTTTACGTCTTTTTTAAACTCAGAGCTGTAGTAGTGAGGTGTGGTCTTTTTACCCAGGGCATGCATACTGAGCCCCACAGGTATCCATGGAACCCAACATAGGTGGCAGAGAATGGAGAGGTATTTTGATCCAGGAATGGCTGTCAGAAATGACTAGAATGTGACAGAAGGAAGTATATTTTTGTGTATTCTTCATGAAATTAGAGTTCTAGCTTTGAAGAGGAGAGGGGACTATTATGGCTAGAAGGGATCTTAGCAAATTCAAGCCCTTTGATATTTTCAGGTGAGGAAATGGGCAAAATACATCCTTTACTGGTGCAATGTTAGTGTGCTGTGGCAGATATTTTAGAAAGAACATTGCATCTGGGGGCAAGAAATCTGATTTTAAAATCATAGCTCTGTCATGAAGAGTTTGGGGGAACTTGGGCAATATTTTTAACTTCCATAAGCACCTCCTTTTTTTTCATCTTTAAATTAAGGTTAACAGTACCTTCCCCGCTGGTTGTGAGAATTAAATGTGTGCTGGCATGCAAAAAGACCTAGCATGGTACTTATATTTTTCAAACTCTAAGACTTTTTTCAGCAGGAAACACACTTTCCCAATTAGTAAGCTTTAACTCTTTCTGGAAATGTCTTGAGTGCTTTTACGAGTGTTAATAAGTTTCGGTATAGATACCCTAAATTGTTTTATCTTTCTTTTTTTTTAACAAGTTATGAATTTGAGTGCTGGATCCCGGTAGTATCTGGAAGCGTATTTGTACTGTGTCTCTTGAGCTAGCCTATGTCTGAGTTATATTCCAAAGCATGATTTTATCTGTGTGAAAGTCTCTTCGGTTGTGGTCCATGTAGCAAACAGCTCCTTTTAAATTTTACCACATTCACATCTGTGCTTCACTGATTTGCAGTTTTACTCGTATATTTAATTGGCGAATAGTCGAGCATTCTTTAGTGTATAAGTGGACACTGCTGAATTCATAGTGCACTAAAGCTATTTAAAATAATCTATATTAAGATAATCTATATAAAATATATCTATATGAGATACTCTATGATCTATTAAGAAATCTATATAAAACAAAATTATTCATAATGACCTTTCTATGGAACATGCATTTTTTTTTTTCCAGAATAATTTTGAAGAGGATGAAGATGTGGAAATGAAAAATAGTATAACCCAGGGAGACAAACTACGTGCCTTAAAAAGTCAGAGACAACCACGCTCCTCACCATCCTGTGCTTTTAGGTAGATCCATTTTAAACTCTTTTTTATGCTTGAGGAAGATTGTCTCTGAACTAACATCTGTGCCAATCTTCCTCTATTTAACGTGGGATGGCTGCCACAGCATGGCTTGACAAGCGGTGCTAGGTCTGTGCCTGGGATCCGAACCTGCGAACCCCCAGCTGCCGAAGCAGAGCACATCAACTCAACCTCTATACCACTGAGCCGGCGTCTTAAACTCTTAAATTTATATTGTCCTTTCATTTGTGGATAGAATATTTAATCCTCTCTTTTGAATGTCATTCTATGAGTACCCCGTTTACGTCTCGTTTTTTGGTTTATCACCATTTTGAATTGTGTATTGTTTTATCACTGTGGTGAGTAGCTAAGTTTTAGGAGCTTATTGAAAGCAACGGCTGCATCTCAGTCTCTGGACTTCTGCATTAAACTGCTAAGCAGTTGGTTGTATCTGGGACTCTGTTTCAAGTTCCATTTGGAATTCCCTTTCCCGTGAGTGGGGTTCCTGTCTTGTGATGAATCCTCACAGGTGTGCTGAGACTTTTTTGTTAAATCTAGAGTGTGCAGAAAAGTACTGTATGCCAAGCTTTGGTGTATCCTGACTCCTTAGCCTTACCTTCTATTTTTAAGAATTGAATAAGCATTTCCTATCTGTACTTGTAAAGTTATAAACCATCTTCATTTCGAGGTGTGAAATTACTCATTGGAATCAATTGATGGGACTTGACTTCTAACCACAACATTTGAAACCTACTGATAGTTCAGATTAGGTTAAAAAAAAAGGTTTCAGAATCAATGTAGGTACAAAAATCTGTAGATATTATTAAGATTCCTTATTGTAATGAAAGAAGTAGCAAGTCCACAAATGAATATAATTGGAAATAGCTACTTTTCTTTGACTTTTAAGTGAGAGACAAGCATACCAGGAAGAATGTTTCGCCAGTATGACAAATGTCAAACAGACTCACAGGGAATTTAATTTCCGTGTGTTATTTGGGAGCATTATAGCACTTAAGTCAGATTGGGTCTGGTCACACCATTGCCTGGGCCTTGAGTCCTGGTTTCCTGACTTGAGAAATAAAGGTTCATACAGCTCAGAGTGGAGTTAATCATTTTCTATAGTAAGATGAGAAGATGGGATAGCAAGCCTGGTGCTTCCTAATAACCACCAGCTGCCACTAGAAAATGCAAGAGACGTACCATTTGCTGAGTGGCAGCTATGGGCCAGGAGCCATGTTAGGTGCTTAGTTTGGATATGAGGATTAACTGAGATAACGCAAAAGCTGTGCATCGTCACCCACGTTTGAGTGGGTTGCTAGGAGTTAGAGAGGTTAAATCCTTCCCAGTGGAGTGGAGTTAGAATGAGCTGATATTCAAACCCAGCACTGTTCAAAGTCTGTGCTCTTTTCACTGTGTATATGACCTAAGTCAGTGGAAGGGTCTTCAAGATCGATTTACATTGCCAGTCTCTTTTATTCACCATTTACTTCTTTGAAATTCCAAGAAATTACTTTATATTGATTAAAATTAGTTTCAAACAGATTTATATTTGATTCTTTTCTCTTTTTTTTTGGTGAGGAAGATTCACCCTGAGCTAACATCTGTGCCAGTCTTCCTCTGTTTTGTGTGTGGGGTGCCTCCAAAGCATGGCTGATGAGTAGAGTAGGTCCACGCCCAGGATCTGAACCTGTGAACCCAGGCGGCTAAAGTGGAGTACGTGGAAGGTTAACCACGTGGTCACAGGGCCAGCCCTTCTTTGATTCTTAAGAAATCATAAGGGGGAGGCAGGGATAAGTTAGAGTATAACTCGGCAAATAAATAGGCTAAAAAAGTGAGAGAATCTCCACAACACAAATTTTAGAAGGCTCGTTCCAGTATGGTTTTTCTATTTTCTTTGTCTTCTCAGAAAGTTTCTTACTTTTTTGGAATGTAGTTTTTCTTAACAGCATCATGGTACCATCACCAAACATTTTTCACCCTGAGTGGATGCAATACCACCTTCTGCTTAAAAAGCCATTTGCTGTAAATGAAATGCAAGATGAAACAGAATAACTAATAGGGATTTCCTGCTGTTTCTAGGGTTTATTTTATAAAGTGAATAAGTACTCATATCTATTTGCAAGGTTTTTCCCTTTTGCCAATTTAATATTTTTAGTCATCTGACTCCGTATGGTGTCCCTTTTGGTCTTCGCTTAACTGTGTGAACCTGGTGATGTTTGAGCACTTGTGTTTGATTTCCGCAGGTTGGATGATATGAAAGGGCCCCCAAGAGCGGTGTCCCAGCCTTTCAGGTACTGTTAATGAGGTTGAATTTCTAGTGGCTTGTAAATAAATGCTATCTTTTAGATACATTTCCCAACCCTTAAACTGATAAAAACAGAAGGCACACAGCTTTTCGCTTTTTAAATTCTTTCCTTTCTGTTCCAGATCGTTATGATACCCTTTATTTTTAACGCTCACCGTGGAAAGGATTTTTGTTTTACCGAAGTGCCCACAGGGCTGTGTGTCTGTGGTAGTGATGTCAGTGTCCTCTGGGCTCCCAGCACGTGGTGGGACCTCTAATAAACTACAGTTGCTCTGCAACATGCCTTTCAATCTCATGATAGATTTTGCCTTGAGTTTTTAACATTTCTGTTAGTCCTCTTTCCTCCTATTTTGCATGAATTTGTTCCCCTCCTTTATTTTCTAGTTTTATGTCCTTCCCTGTCCTTCATTTGAGGAGGAAACATTAGTGTCTTTCTCTAGAAAAATGTCGCCGAACACTCCCTGGGTGGTATCAGGGTACCAGTGGTACCAGGAGCCAGTGGAGGGCTTGGTGAGGCCAGTAGAAACATTTGGCCCAAACTGTTGATGACATAGAGGAAAAAAGCTGACCCATTCCTCACCTCTGGTTCTTATTCACCCTTAGGTTTTAGGGTTGTTTAGTGCAGGTACTTCTGAGAGAGGCCAGACTTCTCCAGAAGCTTGAGCTGTTTTCCTTGTACAACTTTTCCCATCACTGTTTTAGAGGCAAACTATGTCATAAGCTGCTGTTTGCAGGAGGATGATGAAGGAAAGAGTCTATAAGTAATTAAGCTTTTCTATAGCAGATAGAAAAACAAGGTCCAGCTCCATTAAATGACTTGTCCAGGATAAAATGGATTTGGTATTAAAACCATGACCAGGCCCTGGCTGTCGAGATTTGAATCAAGTTTTCCTTTTTGTGCACTCAGCAAACGTTTATTGAACAGCCACTCTGAGTCTGGCACTGTGCTGGCCACTAAGAATGGAAATGAGAGACAGTTCTTTGCCCTTGATGGAGCTTATATGAAGGGAAATAGACAAATATCCGACAGTGGAATAGGTTGAAGAGCTGTGATTTATTATGAGAGTAGTATGATGAAACAGGATGCTTAAGCCTGGGAATTCAGTGAAGGCCTCCTGTAAGAGGTGCCAGCTAATTGGACCATTAAAGGATGAGCAATAGGAGTGCGTCAGATGGAGGTGGAAGAGAAGAGGTGGAGGGGAGGTAAGGAGAGGAGAAGATGCCCTGGCAGGAAAAATAGCACATGCCAACTGGACAAAGATATGAATGTGGTCCATTCAGGAGCTCTGGTCATTTTGTGTAGCTGGAGTACAGGTGTCTCATGGGAAAGTGTAGACAGAAAGACTTGTTCAGAGAGGCTAATGCCCGATTTGGGAGGGTTTTATAAGCCAAGTCAAGGAGTTTTGCCTTTCTGGGCACCGAGGAAAGATTAAATGGCTTAAACAGTGAAGCAACACCATTAAATATTTTGGATTCCCTGGAAGCTATTCAGAATTTGAATTTTAAAAAATAAGATTAAAAGATGCTACTCTAGTAGTCAGGGATAAGAATAATAATAGCCTCCCCGAGGGCAGTTGCAGAGTGGAAGGGAGAGGATAGACTTAAAATATAAAGATGTAGTAAATCTAAGGACATGGGAGGAATGAATGCCGCGGCAAGGAAGGAAAGTGACCCGGCATGGCCGGATTGTGCTAAAGGGCAGACCCGGGATCCTGGATTTGAATCCCAGCTCTGCCACTCGCTCCCTGAGTGACTTTGGATGAAGAGCTTTTCCTCTGGGCCTCCGTTTCCTCCCTTGCAGAGCGGTATAGCATCTTAGCTGCAGAGGGATGTCGTGAGGATGAGCTGAGGTAAGTAAGGTCTGTAAGGTGCTCAGTACAAGGCCTGGCACATAGTGAGGGCTCTGTCAGTGTTGGCTGCTGCTGCTATCACCATTTTTAGGACCTGCCATGATGATTTTAATGTTTATTAGTTTATCTTGTTCTAGTTGATTGCTGAATGTTAAGATGATACAGCTTTTGTGTGACACTTGGCCCATTTTTCTCCACAAAGATCGAGTTCTTCTCCACAAGGATCTGCGTCTACCTTGAAGACCTCAAAAGTGGCTTTGTCTCCTTCAGCGACAGCCAAGAGGATAAGCAGAGGCTCTTTGTCCTCAGGTGCTGGCGTCAGAAGGTAATTTCTCTCTCTCTCTCTTCTGAGGTACTAGCGGGGAGTAAAGGAATTCTGCAGCAAACAATGAGTTTGGCTGAAGTTTGTCAGAGGAGGGGACCACGGAGAAGGGGAGAAACCACAACAGGCTCTGTGACCATCTGGGGCTTCTGTTCCTGTGTCAAATTGCAAGGGACAAGGCTGTGGAGGGAATACTGTATAGCATCCCTTTCTGTGGTAGGTCTCCAGCTTGTCTAACATGATCCAGAAAACAGAGTTCAGTTGCACATACTAATGATGTATGGTGTTGTCATTTCTCCCCTGCTGTGTATGGACGGAAGTAAAATGGGTGGGGACGTTTGGTAGAGTCGTGTGAAGGAATATATATAAGTTAAATCTTGTACTTAGTCTGCTTTTACTCTCCCATTATGTACCCCTTTTCATTTACCTCCTGCTTTGGATGAATAGGACGCCCAGATGTTCTATTTCAAGATCTCTGGTCAAAGTGGTTTAGCCAGCTCCTTGGGTCTTAATTAACTGCTTTTGATGGAGGAAATTGACATGTGTAATGAAAGGCTGTATAGAATATTGCCACAAGCGATAAAGAAGCCTTTCTGTCACCATTTGCCTTGATCAGCGCTGTCTTCATCACATTCCCCTGGTGTCATCATTCTGTGTTTAGAAGCGTGAGTTCTGCGTGAGGGTCCATTGCTGTCTCTGTTTTGCCCCTCACCTGTGTTTTCCATTCAGCTTTTCCATAAACTCCCGGCTGGCCAGTTCTCTTGGGAACTTGAACGCTGCCATAGATGATCCAGAGAACAAGCAGACCTGCTCGACCTCGAAGTTGGGTTTCGTAGCCAACCCCTTCACCAACCTCTTGAATGGCAGCTCCCAGGCGCCCGCCAGAAATTGCCCCGAGCTCAACAACAACCAGTACAGCCAGAGCAGCAGCAGCAGTGGGAGCCCCCTGAGCACCCAGCCGAGCACCCAGGGCTCCAAGACCGAGGAGCACGCCACCGCCCTCCGGCCCTCCTACACCGGCCTGTCTTCTTCCTCAGCAAGATTCCTGAGCCGCTCAATCCCAGTAAGTTCGCAGACACCACCTCTTGGCCCTCAGAACCCTGAACGCAACTTTTGTGCCTTGCCCTCCCAGCCGAGGCTGCCACCCAAGAAATTTAATAGCGCCAAGGAAGCCTTCTGATAGATGCCTTCCCTCTGTGCTGTGCAACTGTCCATGCACGTCCATTCTGCTGGCTCCTCTTCAAGTAAATGCCAAGTTCCAACCGGGTTTCTTTCTTCCTTCTTTTTCTTCTCCTCCCCTTGCTCCTTTTTAAGTGGTTTCTTTTAGAGAGGAAATAGCTTTCATTCCCTTCATCAAGAACACTGTTGAGTTAAGTTAATTTTTAGTTAAGTTTTCAAATCACTGTGACTATCTGGTGCAAAGCCAGGAGCTGATTCGTGTGATAGACAGTATTTGCTTTGGCTGTGGTGGCGGTCGGAATCATGGCTTTTTCTGTATCGTGTATTAATGAATGCATTTTGGAATATTTAAATGGGGAAGGTGCTGAATGAACAGTATCTTCTCAGGACTACCCATTTGCCCCTTGAATATCTCACCTCCTGCAGAGAACTGAGCCAGAATTAATTAAATGGCAAGTGGAAGGTGTTTCTAAGGAACGCTTATAGATAGGCACCTGGGATGTAGGGGAGGGGAAGGCAGAGGACCAGGATGGAAGCTCTCCAAACACATTTTACCCATCTGCTCTTTATTTAGGTTACCAAGCCCCCTTTTCAACCAGTAACCCCTGTTAGGGTATAATCTGTTGGTTTACCCCCTGCTAGGAATCACTTTAGTCACTTATTTTGATTGCCTCAAAGGGAATTGAGATCTATGGGAATCCATGGGATCTATGAGTTTTGGTCTGAGAGAACAAGGACAAAATGTAAAGCAGAAATAGATCCCACAGATGAAGGAAATGTGAATCAGTGTCAGAATGCATCGTTGATTCCACCCGGGGCACATGCAAGCTCCGGGTGTCCTGGGAAGGCTGCGTTCTGGCACCCTTCATGCCCACTGTTCTGGAACATTTCCTCAGCCATTATCTAGGGAGAGGCTGATTTCTGCAGGGGAGAAGAAGGGCTGAGGAGAAGCCGGTGGCAGTGGCCTCTCCTGGCCCACTCAGCAAAGCAGTAGCCCCAAGGCAAGAGTTAATAGGACCCACTTTCCTTAAAATGGCAGTTTAGAAACCACTTTTCTAACATGAGGATGCAGTGTGCATGTGTGTGTATGCGTGTGTGTGTGTGTTTGTTGGACTCATTACCACTCCCATCCCTGCCTCAGGCCTCTTTTCAAAGTTTTTTTCTATCCACACACAGTCCTTTCTGGCATTTATACTTTTCCTCATCTGATTTTATTCTGAGTGATGTTTTTCAACATTATTTTGGATTCCTGTGTAAATTAGGGCCCCAGCCTACCTCACCTCTTAATTTGACACTAATCCCACTATGTTATGAGTATATATGTGTCAGTTAAACTGGAATCCTTATAACTGGGGTTAGATGGAAAATGCTAGTGTGTTTACATTTTCCTAACTAGGTTTACAAGTCATAGACTTCACAGCAGGTGTTGAGTTCAGTCAATATTTTCACAGACTGATTGTGGGTCAGCCTCTTTTTCAGACCTGGGTATAGGTCTTTCCATTTTCAGAAAAAAGTGTAATACTTATGGATATATGGATAATTATATAAATATCTTGCAGATTTCACGGCTAAAGGTTTTGTGTAATCCACATTTATAGCTGAATACCAGAAGCACTGGTAGTTTGACAAGAATAACATTCTACTTTTTCTGGCTCTCTGAATTCCTCTTTGCTAGTGCGAGCTTGCTTTAGATGATCATTGATACCCCTCCCATGTTTATATAACTTAATTTTGGTTTCGTCCCATATTTTGTTATTTTTCTTCACCTCTCCTCCTTCTCCTCCTCCACCTTCTGGCCCGAATAGAATGACTTTCCAATAATTAAATTTAAAGTAATAGTCTGTGTGGGCGGCTGCTGCGATTCCCCTCTTCTCCCTCTTAAATTTGTCATCTTATTGTAAAGAAAAGCATTTATAAATACAATTGCCAGCATGACAACATCTTCCTCCCTCTCACCCTCCTGAGAAGTCAGAAGGAGCAGGTCTCCCGTAGCTGACTTTCCTTCCTTTGTCTTTGCCTAGAAAACCTCTGGAGGAAGGAGGGCTCCAAGTCCTACCCCTGCTGGCTTGCTGGCAGAAAGTCTAATTAAGATGGAAATTCCCATTTCATGTGGAATAAGAGTAGGAGGTTGTGAGTTTTTTTCATTCATCAGTCCAATGCAGCTTTTCTCATTGCTGTGGGCTTCTTGTCCTTCTTTCCAGTGCTTCTGAAGATGTGGGACATGTGACCCTTGAAGAACTAGGAATAAATCACTCAACAAAAATGTTTTTAAGTCCTTAAGTAGGAAATGAAGTCTATTTGGCAATATCCTCTCAATACCTTTAAGAAAGACCCAGAGACTCCTAGGGGATGGGGTGGCGGGTGTTTAGAGGGTGTCTAATATTTTAAAAGCTACAATTAGCATCTCTTTTGAAAGCTGCAATTGCTCTCTCACTTTATGCAGCAATTCAGCCCCCAGAAAAATGTAAAAGTGATTTCCGTGTTCTGTCATTAAATGCTTTAACACAGAAAACAAGAACAGATTTTAAGGAATCCTTATGGTTGTGACAGAATGTTGAGAAACAGTCAGATCTTATTTGTATTTATTTGGCCTCTTCTGTTAGTCTTGAGGTTTCTGCTGCCCAGTGCAATGTGCAAGGTTTCGTTTTGGTTGACCCACTTACTGTGAAAAATCAGTTTTTCCTCTCTGACGTTCAGAGGAGTTTTGAAATACTTAAGAAATGAGGGACGTGTGATTATGGTGTGGGTGGGGTGGAAGTATTTTATTAAATCGAAATTACTTGAGGTATCTGTCTTGAATATTTGCTCTGATTTATTTCTAAGAGCCTTTCCAGTGAATTGCTCTTCATCTACGTTGTCCTTACGTGACCCTGCAAGTCTATGTTAGGTCATGCTGCTTCCACCATAAGCTTGTCTTGTACCCAGCCTTGGTCTTCATTGCGATACTCATCTCACTCTGCATTTTAATCATCTGCTCATTTGTCTGTATCCTCCACTGGACTGTAAGCTCTGTGAGGGCAGGCATTGTACCTCTGTTTTTTATAGTTATATGTCTGTCCCTAGCATATAGTAGACACTCTAAGTATTTCTTGAATAGATATATGGATGGTTGGATGTTTAAATGAATGAATGTGGTAAGAATTATTGCTTCTATTTTAAAGATAAATAACTTGAGGGTTTGAGAGGTTAAATGTTTTGCCCCAGATTGTGCCACAAATATGTAGCAGGGCCATAATTTGAACCTAGGTCAGTTAGACTCCAAAAAGCATATTCTTTTGATTATATGCTGTCGTGTATATACTGTGGTAGGTGTTTGAAATATCTAAATGATATCTCATTTTGCCATGAAGGATCAGGGAAAGCTGTGAAGAAGGGGTAGCATTTTAGTTAGGCTTTTGGAGGGTGATTAGGAGTCTGCTAGTAATCTAGTGCTGAAAATAGGAAAAGGAGGAAAGGCCATTTCAGGCAATTGGAACAGCAAGAACAGGGCACATCCTTAGTATTGTAGTTAAGTTCTTAGATTCTGAAAACAGGTAGACCTGAGTCAAATCCTATTTCTGCCGCTTCCTCCTGGTGAGTACTTTAGCAAGTTATTTAACCTCTCTAAGCCTCCGTAAAATGGGGATAATAATCAGGGGCAGATCTAGGTTTTGTGCACCTTGATACTTATACAATTTGGTGGGACCTGTTTAAGATAAAGAATACAAAATATTTATTTTGTAAATTTTTATACAAACATATGACTACGTACTTTGAAAGGGGTTTGTGTGACTGTGGACCTTGAAGCTTATGTGGTAAGGAACGAATGGTGTGGCTGTGTTCCAGTAAAACTTCATTTCCAAATGAGGTGGTGGGCTGGATTTGGCCCGTGGGCGGTAGTTTGCCCATCCCACTTTAAAGCATTTCCAGGTAATAGATACTGATCCTATCATCTTACTCTCCAGTTCAAAAGTGACCAGTGACCCCCTAATGCTAGAACATGAATCCCGAATTCCTTTGCTGAGCTTTCAGGACCTCTGTACTCTGTTCCTCTTATTGTATCTTTGTACATTACTTACCCTGCTTGTCCCTGAATGGGTTTTCCCTGATCCTCTTCCCCAACTATGTTCTCGCCTATGTCCTGTCCTTTGGGAAGCCCTTTCTTGGAAGCTCCCTGCCCTCTTCACCAATTTCTCATCTTTGAAGACATATATTACCATCTACTCTCTGACTCTTTCCTCAAAAAGTTGAACCCACCCAACGTTTTCCTTTTTAACCTCTGTTCCCATTCGTGATGAAAATTTAGTGCTTTATTTTATCCATATATGACATAGCTGTTTACTTACATGAGCATCTGTATTTGTTTATGTATTGTCCTTATATACAAGACTTGTCTCCAAATTTTAAACTTTCTTTGTGCAGACATTTCATAAAGTTCTTATTTATATTTCATGGTTTCTAACACAGTGCTAGACACAGAAGGAAATCAAAAATACTTATTTGGTTTAAAGTTGAAAATAAAATTGAAATGAAATATTGTGTACTTACTGCTTTGCCTTGGCATTCTCCTTGTGACACAGTTGACGTTGGCTCCAATGCAGTTCCCGGTCCCAGTGGTCAAAGCTGTTTTTTTCGAGAGGGAGGAAGATTAGCCCTGAGCTAACATCTGCTGCCAATCCTTCTCTTCTTGCTGAGGAAGACTGGCTCTGAGCTAGCATCCGTGCCCATCTTCCTCTACTTTATATGTGGGACGCCTACCACAGCATGGCTTGCCAAGCAGTGCCATGTCTGCACCCGGGATCCAAACCGGAGAAACCCGGGCCGCTGGGCCGCCGAAGCAGAACGTGCGCACTTAACCACTGCGCCACCGGGCCGGCTCCCAAAGCTGTTTCTATACCCAGCTTGTTAGTCTGCTCTTTGGGTTTGAAGACTCTGGATGAGTTCTCCCTCTCAGATTTGACGAGTGTCAGAACAACCTTGGTAGCCTACCAATAGAGAAAGTCTTTCTGTTTTCTAGCAGCAGGTGGAATATGTTTTTTTAAAGGAATTATTGTTCCTTAAAGCAGGACTTGGAATAAGATAAAAATATTAGATCTAGCTTGGTAAAAT